GCAGCGATGACTTAGATAAGTGCACAAACATGCAAATAACAATTCCATTAAAGTCCTTCACCACACAGTAGCTATATAATACAAAAAAAGACAGAGAAAGACCATGTTGGGAGTTCTGGTGTATGTGCGTATATGTGTTCGTAATCAACCTCACTGAACCAATAGTTGTACTCGTGAGGGAGTAAATAGTCTTTTGTTAGTCAAAAACACTCGAGTCCTAGTCATTTAATTTTGAGTATCTATCGATAACAAAACTGATACTTCTATAATACATTAAAAAAAAATAATTTAAAAAGAGCGAAGAAACAGATCCAGGATGTTCATTATTTTTTAATTAATTCATCTTGTTTTGACATTCAACAACTCTGTTAACAAACTGAGCACTTCTGTGAAGAAGCTTGAACAATCAAGGAATAAATAACATCAATTCTTCACTTTTGGACTTTTGTGCAACAGTAAATGTTAAAAAAAATGTAATATAAATACAAATAGCTCCTCCAATACCGCAAGTTTACATATCTCACAGTTTGCTATGGCAATGTTATCGTCATCAACTTTATAATACCTCCCGACTGCAGACGTACTCGCGCTTTCTGCTTAAAGCTGCTTCCATGTTCTACTTTGCTGGCATTTAACCAATAGCGTCTCTGCAACCAGGTGATGTCATGCAGCACGTAACTCTGTGCCACAACATAACTATGTGTTCAAAGATAAAGAGAATATATACATATATATTTGAGTCCTGATCGGGAGGTAACGTCCAATTCCGTGTCTGAAACCGCGTAATTGGGCCCGATTTCCAATCATGTGATCAGAAATTTAAATGAAAATACTGGGGTAAAATAATCTGCCATATTTTAAAGACATGGCAGGAAATGAAATGGACTTTAATGCAGTGCTTCTTGTCCGATCTGAGACCAACTTCATATCGTATATCTTAACAGACAGTGAAGATCGCGGATTCTTATAGAAATCTTAAACGTGACAATTTTGTAATGGAAAGAAAGTTCACCAGAAGCCTTTGGGCTTCCTGGCTAAAAATTAAAAGTCTGTGTGCATATACATACTTTAAAGTTCTTTAAATAAATCAAAATATAAATGTTTATGTTGCTAGCGCACATTGTATTTCTTTGGAGCACAATAAATCCGTGGCTGTTAATCCACTGAAATTTTGATTTTGTTTTGGTAATCTTTTAAAGTCTGACCATTTGCTTCAGCGTTTGATATGGCGGTCCTTCTCTAATGACTTTGGCCACCATTTTTTTTAACCACACCCCTTTACTGTTTGTTTGCTATGAGTAATTGATGCACAAAAAGAAAGCCACACCCCCCACTCAATATTCTGTTTCAGTGGGCTTATATGTACAGCTAGTGTTTTTCAGCCACTGTTTTTTAACTTCCTGTGAAAGGTTTATTTGATTATTTTCAATTTCATAATGTTCCTTTTACAGCGTCGATGTTGTAATGTAACTCAAATATAATTAGTTAATTACACTTAAGCATCCATTAGGCTGTTAAAGCGTAAAAAGAGAAGAAAGACTGCCTACATTAGAAACAGGCTAGCACAGAAACTCCATTGAAATGACTAGGGTAAGTAAAATTTTTATACTTTAAAGACATGGTGCTGAAAAATATCATTTAATCCAGTGCTTCTTGTTTGGTCCGACAGCCAATGACAATTCACCGGAAGCCCTGAGGCTGGCTGGCTAAAAGTCAGTGTGCATATACCCCATTAGAAGTACATTAACTCATTGAAATAAAAGTCTTAGCAACTTTCAGTTTATGCAGACTTTAAAGATGATTTTTCTCAGTTTAAATTTTTTTTTTACCGTCAGATTCCAGATCTTAAGAAAAATGTTATCTTGGCCAAATTTCAATCCTTTCAAACCATACATATATGCTAAGCCTATTTATCCAGCTGTCAGGTGATGTATAGTTCATTTATTTTCCTTTGTCTTAGTGCCTTATTTATCAGGGGTTACCACAGCGGAATGAACTGCCAACTATTCCAGCATATATTTTACACGTTGGCCACAACCCAGTACTGAAAAACACCCATACACTCTCACATTCAAACATAAACTCAAACACTAAGGTCAATTTTGTTTACCCACTTCACCTATAGCGCATGTCTTTGGGCTCTGGAGGAAACTGGAGCACCCAGAGAAAACCCACACAAACATGGGAAGAACATGCAAATCCCACACAGAAATGCCAACTGACCCAGCTGGGACTCGAACCAGCAGCCTTCTTTCTGTGAGGCTATAATGCTAACCACTGAGCCACCTTGCTGCCTGTTTTGTAGTTTTACGTTTTACGTTTAGTAAAGTATTACGTTTAACTCCGAACCGAATGATGCAAGTCACCAGAGGAACAAAAAGGGAACTTACACTAGGTTGCAAAGCATGCAGAAAGAAATCAAAACTAGAAGTGGTCAGATACATTTATCCCTCCTTTTTTATTCTCTATAGACACTTTTATCATAAACCCCAAGTTAAGTTTGAAGCTTCAGTGTTAGTGTAAGGTTCTAACTAAGCTTATTCCTCTGCAGTTGCATGTGGAAATGAAAAAAAAAACGGATCATGGGAACTGTCACCACAACTTATGACACAGCAAGTCACCATGTTTCCAGTGACTCATGGCAGGAAAGCGCATCTCAGAGAGACCCTTGTGTCATTGCAGATATTCAGCTGTTTTGTAAACGCATTTTCACATTAGGAAGATAACAATAGCTGCTCTGAGAGCTGTAGAAATGTTCCAACTCGCAGATTACAATAACGGAGTAAAATATTGTGTTTCAAAATATGATAAAGCAAATATAACTTCTCTAATATCTGCTGTTTGTTACTGAAATAAATATCCTTCTGCATGGCTCTCTTGGAGTTCAAAAATGAGGATGTTTCTTAGTTCCTTGTTTCCTCTGGAAAACCCAACTGCCCTTTTCTGTCTTTTTCTCCAAATTTGCATAATTTCCCATTCATTTTCTGTGTGAACTGTATTGTTGCAACAGGCATGTCCACATTTTCACAGAAAAGACTTTAGTGAAACCCCAAGGTTACAGTTTGTGTGTGTGTAATAAAGTACAATCCATCATTTAGTTAATGAGGTAACACTTTACAATAACAGTACATGAATAATGATGTGTTAATATGTAAATGAAACATTAATTTAATTAATAAAGATGAGTTAATGTATGCGCTAATTATGAACTAACTTTAACTACAACATGTGTCACATGAGTTCATGTGTAAATAACGACTACTTTAATTACTTGTTAGTACATGTTGTTAATTAAAGTAATAATTAACATTTATATTAAGCTAAATGCAACCAACATGAACTTATGAGCTGTTGATGTATGTTTATGTCATGACTTTACTTGTAGGGGTACATCATCATTAACTCATCCTTAAAGATGATGTGCCCCTCCAAGTAAAGTCATTGTATAATTATACATTAACATATCATGAGTTCATGGTTAAATTAAGCATAACTTAATGTGGTAATCAATACATTAATTACTGCGACTTGGGGAAAATATCTAATTGCCATTTTTTTGACATATATTGCGATTTGATTACGATTTAATTTTGTAGTCAAGTTTCAGGTCAAGTCATGGCAACAATTCTGTGACAGCTCTTAAAAATTACCTTTTTTTGTGTATGTGACTTTGAACCCAAAATATTCCCACATTACTGATGTTCTGTTTTTCTTTGATATCAATAACATTTTTTATTAAAATTAAAATTTTAATTAACAAAAATATTAATGCTTCTGAAGCAGCAGATGCCATTAGCCCAATTATCTATGCTTTCATGTTTGATTTTGTTTTTTATTGTGGGCGTTCTGCATAGTTCGGTTGCGCAATTCTGACTGGGCAGAACAAAAGTGTGCACACTCAATTGGCTAGTAAGACTATCACACACAGATGGCAATCACGCATTTGCTCTTGGTGGAGGAAGTGAAATAATACATATTTCTTGTCACAGCCTCTTGCGATGAATTAATCACAACGTTTTAAATTGCTATTCGATTTTGATTAATCACATAGCATGTACTAACAAGTAATTAAGGTAGCCGTTATTTACACATGAACTCACATGACTCATGTTGTATTTAAAGTTAGTTTACGATTAGCGCATGCAATAACTAATCAGTGGTTAATAATAAAGTAATGTTTAGTTTACATATTAACACATCATTATTAAATGTTACCGTTTATAATATTATCAATATTACGATTTACTATATATAATATATATTATTTATTTACTAACATATTATAACAATCAGTTAATACTGTAATAAATATGTAATAATAAATGTATTGCTCATTGTTATTTAATATTAATGCATAAACTTAAAAATTAAACAATAGTATGCTACTATAATATATAGTAGTTTCAACTCATAATCAAATTTGTGTGTCATGATGAATTAAATAAAAATCAATAAATTAAAAAAGGAATACATATTCACTAATAACAAAGAGTTTCTCATAATAAACTTATGATTGCGTCTTATTAGAAGTAGGAAATGTATAATGTGATCATATAAAACAATAAAACATTAATTTCTGCTACATAAATACTAATACACAGTCACATGCATGCGAATGAGCTGCTAATTAGTAGTGGATGTGTGTTTCCTGATGTAAATTGTTCTGAATGAAAGTTCAGAGTGCAGTTGTGCTTGTCAATAGTCTTATTGACAGTGCTTTACAGTACTCGTGTGTGTGTGTCTATGGGAGTGGCCCTTATTCCTGCTCTCTGATTTAAAAACACCCAAACCAATATTTAATCGCGGTCGAAAGCGAGAACCTTTCGGGATATTTGGTCAAATATCACGCAGTCCGAATTATTGACGCGCTTCAAAGCTTTTTCACATGAACAAACAAACTTATGCACCAGTAAACACAGAAATTAACAGTTTTTCAAGTTATGCGCTATATATCACACACACACCTATAAACACTATTGTCAAACTAAAACATATCTTACCAAACATATCAGACGCTCTTGAGGACAGTAATCCGGCGGCTGTGGAAGTTAGTAGTTGAAGTCTGTAGGACGCGAGTGTGTTCACCCCTCAGAGAGGAAGTTAATGGCTTAACGGCATATTTGAGGAAGTTTACCGAAGTAAATGCGGCTATGACAATGTTTAAGAGGGCGTAGCAGAGTCTGTCTACACCACAAGCGCGCTCACACTTTTATCAAGCACTTCTCTCGCGTGCACACTATCGGCTCGGTTGACTTTAATGGGGTTTGTCGCGTCTTGTCGTTCATTCGCTTGCTGTGCAACACGGGGAAATCCCGTATCATCATACCTTAATGTTCAAACTACCTGAGCTGAGAAGACGTGAGAATATCGACTTGAATCATTGCACAGTCGTGGGTGGTGCTAACCCGTGCAAAAAGTTACAAGACTGTGTCATATTTTCCATCAAAATTGCTATTTTTTGTTTCTAATATAAACTCTTGATGGAAAAGCTTAGTCAAAATGAATATTTCTGACGCCACTCGGTTTTGAAAGACGTAGCCTATGAGTGAGTTTCCTTTGTAGATAACAAAATTAGGCATTTTAAATAATGTTCAAGCTGCTCTTTTTGTGGGTGTTAGTGAATGGCATTGTTTTGCAAGTTTGAAAAAGGTTCTTTTGATACATGTCTTACATGTAAATTGTGTATTGACCGAGTAGAACATTGACTGGATACATTGTATGGAAAAGTATCTGGATACAAATGTATCCTTTTGTATACCAAAACTATGTCATGAATTGAAAAACTTACATATAGAGTTTAAAATTCAGTAAAAGCAATTGTTTTGCCTCTGCATAGTTAGATAGGCCAAAACAATTCGCAATTATAAAACAATATCTATTTTAAACAAATAATAATATCAGTATAAAGCGATATATTTAACTAAAAATAAAATCAACTTAGAAATAAAATTAATATTACCTGAAAAAATATTTAGATGTAAATATTAAAATATAGGCGTATTTAAGAAACAAAAATACAACAAAATTAATTTTAAAAATTATGCAAACATAGGATATTAAAATTAATTTTTTGTAATAAAAAATCTAGAATAACTAATGAAAATAATCGAAAATAAATGAGTATCTTTTTAATTTATTTTCATTTTTCCCACATGAATGACACCTTTGCATGGAAAATTAAGAAGAGACTACACTTAATAAGTAGAGACTAAAAGAATAAGAACCGTTATAGAATTTATAATGATTTTATTTATTATAATGCAGGTCCGTAGCCAGCCTGGTGAAAGAGGTGGTTCTTTTTTCCCAAAAAGCAGACCTTTTTGGGTTTTTTTTGGCACATTTTCTATTTATTTATAAGATTTAAATGCTGCATTTTAGTGACATTTTAAGCACAATGTTTTGCTGGATTAGCTTTAAATGGTCATCATGACCATTTGTTTTGATGCACCAAAAACATTTCCTAAACATATAGAACAAAGAAACATGAATAAATACTTATTTAAAAATACAAATGTATCTGATTACATCATAAAAAACAGGAATCTGTTAAAGTTTTAAATAAAAAAAACTGTGGCCTATTTTCATTTATTAGACAAATAACCACCTGGCCGGCACATTCAACTTTCCTCAGTCACAATTTCCCCATTTGAATAATAAAAATTTAAATATAATAATAATAGTAACCATAGTAATAATAATAATAATAATAATAATAATAATAATAATAATAATAATAATATAACAATAATAATGTAGAGCTTTAGCCAAAACAGTATTTAAATTAATTTTAATATGGGCCGCTATTGGTGCTTCAAAACTTTTTAATAGTCATTTTATGTTTAAAACTCAACTTTGTTGACTTCTGTTTATGTTCTGTTGTATGTTTTCTTGAACATCTAGATGTTTGACTTGATCCAAACTGATTATCTAGTCACATCAAAGCAACAGCCCAGAATTCCACTTGGTCTTAAAGCCCTTTTCGATGGATTATTTTCACAATCTATGTTGGCATAGCAGTCAAAATTAGACAAATAAGCTCATGTGGGACAAATTTTGGACCTTTGTCAGTGAGGGGTGGGTCTTTTGAACCACCCAATCCCCAATAATGAGGATTTAAATCAATAATGCCTATAAAATATGTCTCAAAATGCAATGGAAACTATTCAAATATGGGCTTGCTTTAACTGGTGATTTGTGATGCTTTTTGTTGTTTGTTTGTTTGTTTGTTTGTTTGTTTGTTTTTTTGTTTTTTTGTTTGTTTTATATATATATATATATATATATATATATATATACAGAATTTTATAAGAAATAATTATAACAATTATTATATTATATTATATTATTATATTATATTATATTATATTATATTATATTATATTATATTATATTATATTATATTATATTATATTATATTATGTATTTTTTTAAAACCAACAATAAACCAATAATATAAACACATGGTAAACAGACAGGAAAATTGGGAGGGGTTTCTTTTTCTTTTTCAGCTGCATGGTTTAGTATCAAACCACTAGATGGCCGTGTCTTTCTGTTTGTCGGTGCCAAACCTTTAGAACCCGACAATTTATATCCCGAGAAACTATTTGCTTTGCCATTAGACAACCTCTCCAAAAGCAACACCAAGCGGATTCGGAACACGGAGGGGTTTGGGATAACGCGGAAAAGAAGCTTTAAACAGACGCGATGAACCTCGAAATTTGATTTGCATATCCGGGACATATTTTTATGTCATACATTTGGAGGAAAGCTAATTTTTCTTTTTCATTTTGGAGAGTTTGCCTGAAGCACAGTAGTGATGGACCAACATTAGTCTGCTAGATATCGTTGACATGGGCGGGTTGTTGCGTAAACTGTGACGAGGAGATGTTAGAGCATGACCGTCGAACATCTCTGAAGTTTTATTTCAATTTATTGGATCATATAAAAGACAACATTTCTATCGCGCTGTTAAAACAACATCCAGCTGAGTGGAATAACACCTTTCAGAAATCGGTCACCTAATGGATATCAGTGGGATCCAGAGAAACTTCTGCATTTGAATTGTCACGATCGACTCCAGCAGTTTCCCACCTTCGGATTTCAGGTATTTTTTTTTCAAAACTTGTTAATAGATCCATGTGAGTTAGACTGTGTGTTTACACCACGAACAACAACTGTAAAACAACACGGGGAACATTTTTGTGCCAGACAAGCTGCAGTATACAAAGGCGGAACTTGATAGTACTAGCAAAAGAGATCACAATTTGGCGCTAGTCTTATAGTAAGGTGAATATGAGGATGTTAAATAGCTATGCAAATTTCTAAAAACTTATGTGATATGCCACGCGTCACTAAACCCAATCCTGCGGATTTGAGCGGCATTTACGCTCCTGCTATAGCAGGCTACCCCATATGGCAAGTTTGGCAACTCATATACAGTTGAAGTCAGAATTATTAGCCCCTCTGTTTATGTCCCCCCAATTTCTGTTTAACGGAGAGAAGATTTTTTTTCAACACATTTCCTAGTATCATGGTTTTAATAACTCATTTCTAATAACTCATTTATTTTATCTTTGCCATGATGACAGTAAATAAAAATTTCAAGACACTTCTATACAGCTTAAATTGACATTTAAATGCTTAACTAGGTTAATTAGGTTAACTAGGCAGATCAGAGTAATTAGGCAAACTATTATATAACGATGTTTTTTTCTGTAAACTATAGCTTAAAGGGGCTAATAATTTTAAACTTAAAATGTTTTTAAAAAAATTAAAATTGTATTTTATTCTAGCTGATATAAAACAAATAAGACTTTCTCCAGAAGAAAAAAATATTATCAAACATGCTGTAAAAATTTAATTGCTCTGTTGAACATCATTTGGGAAATATAAAAAAATAAATAATGTCACTTGTACTTGTTTATAAATTCCCCAATATATATTATTAAACTATTACTATTCATTCCAGTCCTTGTATAGGACGTATTGTTTAGTTGCTTGTAAATATTTAAATAAATACTCATGTCTAATCCAGCTTCACTAGTACTACTTGAAAAGACACTAGTACAAGTGTGCCCAAACCTTTTCTTATAAATGGCCAAATACCAAACTTGATTGAGGGTGGTGGGTCGAAGCAAAATACCAAACTGTATTACATTAAATTTGCCATGGTAATTTCATAATTTAATATTTAAAAATATATAGAAAAAAATAATCGTATCAATAATTATATTTTATTCAGCGAATGCCCTTCCAGCTGCAACCCATCACTGGGAAACATCCACTTATTCACACACATACACTACAGACAATGTAGCTTACCCAGTTCACCTATAGTGCATGCCTTAGGACTTATAGGGGAAACCGGAGCACTCGGAGGAAACCCACGCAAACACCGGGAGAACATGGAAACTCCACACAGAAGTGCCACATGACCCAGCCGAGTCTCAAGCCAGCGACCTTCTTGCTGTAAGGCTACCGACTATGCCGCTGTGACATATATATATATATTCACTCGATAATGAAATATGTGTCCTAAAAATGTTTTTAACAACGTGCCACACATGTATATCTGTCAACATCTAAAGAAATTAAAGTTTAAAATATCTTTTAAAATATCTGATTAATTCACATTTAATTGAAACTTGTTTTTGTTGCTCAACAATTAAACATGCAAACAAAAAGTCATGTAAAATTAAAAATGGCTATCTCCGTTTGAGAGATTCGACCCAACCTTCCCCATCATTTGTCCATAGTACCATCTCTGATTGTTTGGCGGGCCAAATCATAGGTTACCATGGGCCAACTCTGGCCCGTGGGCCCTAGATTGGGCATCTCTGCACTAGTGTTTGTTTGGTGAAGCCTACACGAAAGATATACGGCATCTTTCGTGTTTTTGTACGGCATTACTTGTAGTGCATTCATAAGGCCGCTGGTTTGAGCCCTGGCTGGGTCAGTTGGCATTTCTGTGTTGAGTTTGCATGTTCTTCCTGTGTTGGCGTGGGTTTCCCTCTGGGTGCTTCGGATTCCCCCACAGTGCAAAGACGTGGTACAGGTGAATTAAAGCCAAATTGGCCGTAGTTTATGAGTGTGTGGGAATGCAAGAGTGTAAGGATGTTTCCAAGTGTTGGGTTGCTGGAAGGGCATTCGCTGTGTAAAACATATCCTCTATAAGTTAGTGGTTCATTCCACTGTGGCGACCCCTGATTAATAAAGGAACTAAGCCAAAGGAAAATGAATGAATAAATGAATAAATAAATGAATGAATAAAATATCTAATATCTATCAAGTATCTGGAAAAAGTAGGTCTAATTTATTTCAGTCATACAACACTAAAGTTAAATATTAATCTGTGAATTATCAATGTGTGATAATATTAAGTAATAGTAAATACACAAGGCATTTACTTAATATAAGGTTTGCTTTTGGGTTAATGCATATGTTTATGCATCAGTTACTGCACTGAGTACATTATAATGCTTAACAATATAAAACAAAGTGTTACCGTAGTTAAACTGAAAAGATACTAGTTTGCATATCGGTCAATAAAATAAATACCAGGCAGTTACCTAAAAATACATGTGAAATGGACTAATGTTGTAAGTCAGAATATCCATTTTACTCAATGTTTCTCTCTCTCTCTCTCTCTCTCTCTCTCTCTCTCTCTCTCTCTCTCTCTCTCTCTCTCTCTCTCTCTCTTTCTCTGTGTTTAGGTTTAGTATGGCTCTGTTGAGATTTGCCAGACACTTTATATACATCACATGGCTGGGTTTCTTATGGAGGAGTTCAGCAGATCAGCCCCGCCTGACAGACCACCTCCACTCTGCCGTTGGACTCTCTGGTAAGAAATCACCATTCAGTGTTATTACCAAAGTTGTGTGTGTCTGTATAGAGTGCATTACATGTGTTATATAATCGCAGCAGAGTGTTTGTTCAAGAAAGAAATGTCTGATATACACCAGTTGTTGCATGTGCTGCTAGATAAGATAAAGTGTTTTCTTTGTTTGGTCAGAGACTTACGGTTAATTATGTCAGACCGGTCTTTTGGAATATATATGCTGCACTTATATGTGTTGACCAAAAAACTGAAAGAACTGGCTTGACAAAATCATGTGGTCAGCTAAAAATTCACCCAAAATTGAATATTCTGTCATGTCTTTAATCTCATTTCATTTCAAAGTCATAAATCTTTAATTCACTTTAAGAGCACTCAAGATGATGTTCCTCAAGGGCCCCTATTATTGTTTTATTGGTTCCTTACTTGCTTTTGGAGTTCTCCTACAATAGGTTTACACAAGAACAAGGATAATTTGCTCATAATGTACATGTCTCATCATCGAATTTACCAGAGTGACTCTTAAAGATTTGTTTCAATATCTATTTTAAGAGTCTACTCTGCTCTGATTGGTCTGTTATGACTAAACCCTCATTAGCACATCTGAATTTCAGCTCCAGACCTGAAACTTCATCGCAAACATGATTTGTGCATGATGTAAGCATCAGTTTTTTGGGTGCTTAGAATGATAACTTGTTTTAAATTTCTGATGAGCTCTTGAACACAACGACCATATAGATTAATTGATAATACACTCACTGACCGCTTTATTAGGCACACCTTACTATTACCACGTTGGACCCCCTTCTGCCTTTAGAACTGCCTTAATCCTTCGTGGCATGCATCAGCCTGTGCGAATCATAGCCTCAGTTTCCTGTTCTTAGCTGACAGGAGTGGCACCCGGTGTGGTCTTCTGCTGCTGTCGCTCATTCGCCTCAAGGTTTAACGTGTTGTGCGTTCAGAGATGCTCTTCTGCAGACCTCGGTTGTAACGAGTGGTTATTTGAGTTACTGTTGCCTTTCTGTCAGCTCGAACCAGTCTGGTCATTCTCCTCTGACCTCTGGTATCAACAACATCTTCTGAAACTATTCATATCGCAATATTTATCGCAGAAAAATAAAATATTGCATCAGATTTTTCCAATATTGTGCAGCCCGTTTTCACATAGAAATCATTAAAATAATGAAATGTGACTTTTGCAGCTTTGAACTTACATGTTTATTTCTGTACTTATATATTTTTTATTCTTTTGAAAAAATGTTCAATACTTTTGGAGAGAAAAAAATATAATAATATATATATATATATATATATATATATATATATATATATATATATATATTAGGGATGTAACGGTATTGTAAATACCGTCATACCGCAATATAAATTTTTTTTGATATTACCGTAGTCGCATGACTCGGTAAAACTATAGGTCTTCTGAGAAAATTTGCTCAGGCGAATGAAGCGAACGGGAGGTAGCGAAAACTACAATTCCCATCAGCCCATGCTTGACCATCATCCCTTGCGGTCTGTTGTCGCTACAGATCCAGTAATGCGGAAATGGAGTGTGCTGCTAGAAGCGGGGATGAAAAAGAGCTGGAAAACTCTAAAGCGGGTGTTGTCGCCGCGCGCGTTCTGAATAGCGGTGTTGTCGCGCGAGTTCTTATCAGCTGTGTTGTTGCGCGCGTACTGAATAGCGGTGTTGTCAGCACACTGTTCAGATTGATGCAGACATGAGACCTCTATCTTACTCATGGTTTGTCCTCTCAAGTGGGGGAAAGACAATGCACAACGTTACCCACTGCTGTCAACCTGGGCCAAGTCTTATCTCTCTTGTCCCAGAAACCTCAGTCCCAAATGAGAGGGGTTTTTTTTCTGTTGCAGGGGACATTGTAAATGCCCAGAGATACCAGCTTTTACCAGATTATATTTATATGATAATTTTCCTTTAAACCCATCTCTATCTAAGTGAGTGATTAAATGTTGAATGTGATGAGTTTTCAACAATACTAAATTGAAACTTTATTTTTTTACATGGTTTAATATTTTTTTGTTATTAAAATTGAAGTTCCTGTTTCAAAGCTTACAGATAGATGGCTAATTTGTATGTCATTGACACTTTTGGCACTTTTTTGGAGTATTTTCATAAGTTTTGTTTTTTCCTGTAAATGATTCAATAAATACCGTACCGTGACATTCATACCGAGGTATTACCGTACCTAAATTCTGATACCGTTACATCCCCAATATATATATATATATATATATATACACTCACACACACACATACATATACATACATATGTATGTATGTATATATACATATACATACATATACACAACCCACTAGTCCTCCTACACCCAACCCTGTCTGAGCTGGGAATGGGATCGAACCGATTCTTTGATGGGAGTCGGTTGCTCTAACAAGGAGGCTAAAGACCATGGCCTCTAGCATCTGTCGCTAGAGCACCTTTTGAGGTCAGAAGAGTGAGGTTTACCTGCATAGCACTTCGCTAGCTGGCCTCCGTTACATAAACATTTATGTGTATGTGTAAATGATAAATATCAGTCAAAAAAGATCTGGTCGTATGGCCGACTAATAATTGTTTTAAACAATTGTGATTACTTTATTGACCAAAATGCTCCTGATTGTATATTACCCCCTCCCGATTGGAGCAGCCCAAACTTATCATGCAATTTAATCTTTAAAAACGTTGCAGACCTTTTCTGTTCACAAACAGCTACATTACACACTGCCTGAAAGATAATAGTAGAAAAAGCAGAACAGGAGTTTTACTGAAACCTGAGAGATTTCAGCTTTTGTACTACTTTGTAAAGATTAACTTGAGAGGCAGATCATCGGGTTAAAAAGGAATCAAGTATCACTCTAGTAGTGAAATATGAATATGCTATGATTTAAAATGAAGTGTTTGTACTAAAAAAAGGATTTTATTGACTAAATATCTTCAATTCTTCCAATCCAATGCATGTTAATGAGAAAACCACATGCATGTTCCTTACACAAAATGTGAAAACGCACATTTATGAAGCCTATCAATAACAAGCAATGATCAAAATCAACTTAGAATGTAACAACCAAAGCTTGCATGCAGCTTCTTTTTCCTGTGCTGTAAACACTGCAGTACTTCCAGAACTGATTGTATCACATGAAGATGTAATCTTACAGCAGCACAGCACAGAACCACTGCACTGTTTACAGCGGGTTGAGTTAATTTAGTCTTGATTAAAAAAAAAAACCTACAGTATATAAAGTGTGTAACCGAATTAATAAATTAATACGAATGAATGTTTTCTCATAATCACACATTAATTCGATATCAATGCTGCAATAATATTTTGTAAATAAATCAGCTTTTGGCACAAACATATTATTCACTGACTTAATAAAACCAATGGAATCACATAGATGAATTCTACTTCTTTTATTAGGAATATTTTGAGGCTGTAACCTTTTTTTTTTTTTGGTAAGTTCAGAAGATAAATGAAAGTCTTATATGTTAAGAAAGAGATGGAGGTGAGTAAATGCATAAGCAGATGCTATTAGAAACAGGAGATTCAGTTTAGCTAATGCACAGAGTGACATAAATGCCTCCCGCTGCTGGAGTTTGTCATCCTTGCTTTAGTTTTGCTGTCCATCAAAGTCTCCTCTTGTGGGTTGACACTAATGTTCGGTTTCCACTCAAGAGATGGATTGTCGGCCCATTATTCAGCTGTTGCAGTAGTCAGGTTGTACAATGTAAATCTGGATTTTTAAAATCTGTGAATATGCTATTTAAGTCTTTCTGTAGTTTGTTTTAATGTCGGTTTTAAATAGATAGTAGTTTATCCAACAAAGAAAATGTACAGTTATTCTACTCACCCTCAGACCATTGAAGATGTAGGTGACTTTCTTTCTTTAGTAGAACAAAAGTAGATTGTTAACTGAATCCGTGGCCTTTGGCGATTCATATTTGGGCTGCACAATATTGTAAAAATCTCACATTTTGTTTTTCTGTGATATTTATTATGATATGAATGTAATAATTTCACCAGATGACTTGAATAGCTCAATTTTAAAAGGATTTATAACTTTATATTAATTGAAATGTTTCATAGGCCAGATAATCTGTATAAATTTAGTTGCATTTTTTGGTGGCGAGTTTACCTGTATTCAAGTATAAGTTGAATAATCAAATGCAAGCAATCAAAACTGTGTAGTCTTCATTTTAAAAGTTAATCATGATACATTTTCATTGTTATAATTTCTTGTTCACAAATTATTTCAAGTTCTAAAAACAAATGAAACAAGCAAGCTTCACTCTATTAAGGTTAACTTCACAATCTGGTTCTTGGTCTGCTATAGTTCCACTCAAAGTGGAACTATAAGTAGGAGTGGTCAGGGGTTGCGACAGGCCACAGTCACGGTGGCAGGCCAGATCGACCATCAAGCAACTGGATGCTCCCTATGGCCGGTCCGCCGCTGCATCAGTGCACACTCAAGGCTCAGATATACTTCAAACGAAATAAAAAGACGAACTGAAATGATGATGTTGAAATTATGTCATTTCAAACAAATACCTTACTGAAACAGTTCTTTTTTATGTCATTACAGCAATTCAAATCGAACATCTAGGGGACTTTGTTTTGGTTCCTAAACACATTTGAGCTGCCATTAATCCATGGCTGTGTTCTTGAACTCTGCATTTTTCGTCTTGCGATTATTCTCCACCAGTTGTTTTTTATTCCATGTGACTAAGACAAGAGAACAACATTCAATACAACCACACTAGCAATATGAATACACTGTAGAGTCGAATAGCAGGGCTGGTATTGATGTATCTGCACCTATATAATTGCATACAGAAAGATTTTAAAGACTCGGAGGGAGTCACACACACCGAACAAGAAGCCCACCCCACCTTACGCCAAGTTTTTTCCACAATAATGGTGCCATTTAGTACACCATCATTACTTCTTTTTGCCTTTAAATGAAGAATGAAAAATAA